ATATTATTTGATATCATCTATTACCTTTATTATTTAATAATTGTTTTGAGATAAAGATAGGCTTGCACATGTTTAGCTAAGCCGCTAAGATCAGTTAGTTGTTTCCTCCTTTAACGTAGTTGATGTTGATCACATTTGCTCAGCTCTTTGTATTTCTTATATATTGGTCATGAATAAAGAACAACATGATTGATACTCTGCAATTTTAATTAACTTTTATAAATAATCACTTTCTCTAAAAAAATCTTAAAATGATTTTTAGAAGTAGAAACAAATGCACACTCCCTTAAATCTCCTCCACACTCAGTTCCACATCCGGAATGGAGGGACACCAGATGTGTGGGTCGCGGGCCAAAAAATAAAGAGCTCGTTTGATAACACTAAAACTGACTGCATTGGCTGATTCTGCTGATATATGAAAAAAATTATATTTAAAATATTTATTATTAATAAATAATATAAAAAATATATATGAAAAATAGGTAAAATGATCCTCTAAAGTAACTTCAACCTTACCTTCAGTAACTTCAGTCAATACAGTCAGAAAAGTAACTTCAACTTTACCTTTTCTAATTATTACACAATTCAACGCGTGAAATAAAAAATTACTGTGTTTGATGAAAAAAATGTCTGATTAGCCTGATGAGTCGAAAAAAGGGGCCACCTTGCAAACAGGTTCAAAACTTCTCAAACCTAGTATTATACCTTTGTAATAGGTGTGATTAAATAGTAATTGCTCTAGATAAGACTAAAAATTCCCTAAAATGCACAAATAGGACTACTACATTTTTAACCATCCCAAATAGGACTAAACATTTGATTCCTACTAGAAATGCCCCTAAGAGTATTATTTCATAATGAAATGCTATAATTTATTATAAAATATTAAAAAATAGTAAAAAATCGCCAAAACCCATAAAATATACGGATACCTATCCCACCGCATCCCAGCACCACCACCTTCAACCGGTAAAATTTCTGCCATTTTTTATAAAAAATTCCATATTTTTCCGCAAATGCCAACAAAATGGAATTATTACTCTTCATAATGCCAAAATTCTCATTGAATCTGCCATTATTATGACATTATTAAAAATGTTGGCATATTTTTTTATTTATTAAAACAAAGTAATAAAAAAATAGTAAAAAACCATACAAAAATGAAAAAATTATGAAAATGGCATTGTAAAAATTCTGAAAATGCCAAGAAATTCTGCCATTTTTTGTAAAAAAATGCCATTGTTTTCTGAAAATGCCAAGAAAATGGCATTATTATTCATTATAATGCAAAGTTGTCATTGAATCTTCCATTATTATGGCATTACTAAAAATGTTGGCAGATTTTCAACCGGTGAAGGGAGTTGGTGGTGCTGGGGGTGTCAGAGGCAGCGACATTTTTTTTTACGTTTTTTATTTATTTATAAATATTTTATAATTTTTTGGGAAAAGGTGCAAATAGGCCCATGTACTAACCAAAAAAGGTCAAATAAGCCCTTATTTAGGAAGTTCTGTCCGGCCGTCGTCATTTGGGGTGGTTCCAGGTGGAATTGTTTGATGAAATTTTTTGAGCATCTTATTCATGAAGTCTAGTTTACTCATACCAAATTTCAGCTAAAACTTCAATTGGGAAGGCATTCAAATGAATTCTTGAAGATAACTGCGCAGTTATTTTCAAGAATTCATTTGAATGCCTTCCCGATTGAAGTTTTAGCTGAAATTCGGTATGAGCAAACTAGACTTGATGAATAAGATGCTCAAAAAATTTCATCAAAAAATTCCACCGGTAACCACCCCAAATGACGAAGGCCGGACAGAACTTCCTAAATAAGGGCTTATTTGACTTTTTTTTGTTAGTACATGGGCCTATTTGCACCTTTTCCCTAGTTTTATTTTTAATATTTTTTGACGTTTTTTATTATTTTTTTTCATTTTTAATTATCTTTTGTTGATTAAGTCATTTCAAAAGCTTCAAGGGTATATTTGTCTCAACACACATAAATAGTCCTACTAGGGGGAATAAAAAACATACAGTCCTATTTGTGCTCTTGGGCCACTTTTTTTTTTTTTTTTTTTTACCTATTTAGGTAACTAATTCGTGATTAAACTGTTTTGGGGAATTTTATTTGCTTCAACAAATCCTTTCACTCCTTTCTCTTACCTTTATTGCTTTTTTGCTTTTTTGCTTTTGTCAACACACTCTTGTTTTTCTTCTTTTTGCTTTTTTGCTTTTGTCAACACACTCTTGTTTTTCTTCTTTTTTCCGGAGGTAGTCCATGATTTCATGTTGGGGTTAGCTGAAACGCTTAAATGATATACATGGTAAAATTTCAAAATAAGCAAAAAATTAAATACAAGAGTTCTCCCCTAAATTAGTTCTCGATGAGGCTTTGAAGCAAAAAACTCGTCAACAAAAGAGTGTATCTTATACTAAGAGGTAAGGTCTTCTTCAATTTCGAAATTAAAAAATCTATGTTGTGCAAAATATCTTTTAATTTGGAACTTGCCCCTCAGAAGAATAAACGACGTCATAGCATGAGGACTAGATCACAGTAAAGAAAATCTGTGGAGCTAGATTTTGATGTTTATTTTTAATTTCCTGTTTTTTCTCTTATGCTTTTACTTCTTTCTCGCATTGTAATCTGTTTATCCAATAAAAGTTCTTTTTGTTCAAAAAAAAGAGAGTAAGGTCTTCTTCAATATAAAGTATCAGGTAATCAGTAAGAAAGTGATCTCATCATCCATTTTGTTGTCGAGTGTTGTCTTTAGAAGTTTCATGGCAGAAAATGATCGCTCTACTGTTACAGCAGAAACTGTAAGATCAATACAAGGCACAATCAGTTCATCATAACATATGAATCAGATCTTCTGCTCTTAGCCAACTTCTCACATAATTCAACAAGTGTAGATACTTGAAACTATGTATCATGAATTACATCATGAACATAGTGTTGCAGTTCGAATTCCAAAGCACGAATATCTTGATTACTAAAATCTTTGGGATAGAACTTCCTTACAAAAGTACAAATAGCATCAGCATTGAATGATGCATATGAATTTTTGAGATCCAATGAAACACTCAAAGAAAGAAGTTCTACTGATTTATCATTAAATCGGGTCCTTAACTCCATCAATACGAAGTCTATTGCCTCATTGAAAACATCAAAGTGAAAATGATGCTCAACTTTTGTATATTGTTTACCAACAACACCTTTATTCCTTTTCAAACCTTGTTTCGTACAACAAAATTTCTTCCCCCTAAAACCAGAATTCCCACCTCTCTTTCTCAAAGTAGAATAATGAACACCAAAAAAATTGTTTTACCCAATAGCTCAGAAACTTCATCTTCCTTAACTGATATAGTTTCAACACACAAAGACTCATCAGATTGGTCTACATGAACAAAAGCAGAAAAACTTTGAACTGCCAAAAAAAAATTAAAATTTGGATACAAAAAACATAATGAAGTGATTAAATGTAAGAAAACACAATACTTGATAGGACAACAACAGATTCAGTTCTAGAAAAAAAAAACTTCACTCAAGGTATCACCATATTCCAAGTAATCTGAATCCATAAAAGTGCACAAATAAATAGCAATAGCTCAAAGTAAACAACAACCACCAAACAACAACACTGTGTGACTTGTAAAGAGAGAAAACATTACCGCAATCGACTTCAAAAAGATCGCCTCTAGCCTCAATATCCTCTATTAATTTGCCACTGCAAGAAATATCATCTAGACAGGGGATAACAATTCAAAACAAAAGAATAGATGATCATTGCTAAGTAAGGCAATACTCATCACAAGAATACAAAAAACATAACAAAGTGATAAAATGTAAGAAAGAATAGTACTTGGTAGGACAAAAATAGATTCAGTTCTAGACAAAAAATCTTCACTTAAGGTATCACCAGATTCCATGTAATCTGATTCAATAAAAAAATACATAAATAAATAACAATAGCTCAAAGTAAACAACAACTAAACAACAACACTATGTGACTTGTAAAGAGAGAAAATGTTACTGCAATCAACTCCAAAAAGTTCTCCTCTGGACTCAATATCCTCTATTAATTTGCCACTACAAGAAATATCATCTAGACAAGGGATAACAATTCAAAACAAAAAAAAGATGATCATTACTAAGTAAATCAATACACATCAAAAGAAATCAATTATAGTGAAGGTGTTCCTAGAAAAATTACTTCCACAACTAGACATAGCGTGTGTTCTTAGATAAAATTAAAAATGCTGCAACATAAAAAAAATTAAATGAATGAAAAAAATGATTTTGTTCCAACGAGACAAAAAATAAAGTAAGAACAATTACTTACTTACAACTTCACTGGTCGAAATTGAGAACAGATGCAAAACCTAAACCTGCGCAAGAACAAACGGAAGTAAATAATAAAGATGAGGAGAACGACAAAACCTGTGGATGAAACACAGGAAGTAGAATAACAGTTCAACAATGATCGGCAGAAGAAATATTACTTCCATTGACGACAAAATGGAAATCTTCAGAGAATATGCGGTTGAATGCGATAGAGAAGAAAGAAAGAATGAAATAAAGCTGGGAGAAGTGGACGAAACATCTATAAAAACAATAAGGCTCGAAGTTGCAACTAATTACAAAAAAATCCGATTGTACCATGCCTTAGGTACAACCGGTTGTACGATGTAATTTACCTGCAATACGGATACGGTGGAGAGTAAATTGAATATTTAATTTTCTTTTCTTTTTATAAATATTTATTTTGGAGGCTTTATTTAGTAAAATAGAAGCTGTAACCTTGTAATTAGAAGGTATTTCCCAACTGTTTTTCAGCCCTCACAAAAAGTTTATGAGAGAATTCCCTAAATAGGAGTAAAAAAGTTTTGAAATTTCAAAATAGGACTATCTTTTTTTTTATTTCCTGAATAAGAGTAAATTTCTGCCAAATTTGACATTACTAGGCTTTAAACATGACATTTTTTCCAAACATGACATTTCAAAACGTTTTTATTCCTCAATTTCTAAAAGTTTAACCCATCGATCCAGTCAGCTGTAATCATCGAAGTGTCGAACGCCCCGCTAAGTCGCCGACTCCCTTCGCGGCTTCGCCCTCCGGCAGGCGCCAGCACGCAGCACGGCAGCACCGGCACTCCGCCAGACTACAGCGCCGCAGCACGCCTCGTCAGTGGTCGCCTACTCGCCTTACGCCCGTCGCCCGGTCGCCTGCATTCCGCCACTCACCCTTCGGCGGTTTGGCCAATCTTCCCTTCTCAATTTTCACCTTCCGCAGTTCCGGTATTCCTTCAGTCCTATTTTATTGATTTAATTCATAGTTGTTTATAAATATTAAGTTAAATTAGTGATGTTGTTATTTGTTGAAACCCTAGGAAACTCTGAGAAACCTAAGCAAACTCTGATAGGTAACATACTACTTTCACCGTGTTTTCTTGTAACTTTCATCAGATCTACAAATTTAGCTTTGATTCATTCACATGCATCACCAAATCCACTGAGAAAATTCTAAGACATCAGATCTTTATCTAAGATCCCAAAATGGCAGGAAAAAATTAATGTTTTATTTTCAGAAAACTTGTCACTGCAAGGAAAAAATCACACTCCAAATATGTTATTCATTTCTACATTTTGAGTTTCCAAAACATAAATTCAAAAAAAAAACATAAATTCAAATATAATTATTTTGTATACGTAGAGGCGCGCATATACATTTGTATTGTTTAATTGCCACCTATTTTAGATATTGAAACTTCATTTTAACCTATTGAATTATCATCATTTATGATAATATGGATTTTTCTTTGTTAAGTAATTATGCATTTTATTGTGTGTGTAAACATAAATAGTGTAATATGGAGAATAAAACATATTAGGCCAAAACATTTTGGACGGTGAGGTAGTTCCTTGAACATATTAGTAAATATTGGGAAACTATTAAACAAATACTGTATGAACTTGATAGAATGATTGACAATGGATGTTCCTTGAAACTAATCTCTCTTAGTTTGCTAGACATTTTTTATCATCTTTTAGCGCACAGCATTCATTAAAACAAATTGCCAATAACATCTACTAGTACGAAATAGTGAATGTTTAACGATTGCAATTCAAATATAAAATTGTAATATAGAACCACCAATGAAATTTGTTCAATCAATAATATTTTAAGTTTATTATTTTGGATCCGGTATTATGTATTGATTAATGTTAGCCGACTCCAAAATCTTTTGGTACTAAGGCTTGGATGTTGTTGTTGAAAATATTTTAAGTTTGTTATGTTGGTCCCCTAATTTTTTGATCTCATCCTTCAGATTTCTATGAATAAATAAATCATATATCTACATGAATTAATAATTCATACGCGCTTCCTATTAAAACAATGTAATACGAATAGGCAAGGCAAACTGGTACAAACACGGCTTACTCAGGATGTTCTTTTTAAGAATGAAAATAACATTTGTATATCCCCATGCTCTAGTGTCAAACGGTCATGCAAAAGGCCAAAAGTTCACCCACGACCACCTATCCCAACAAACAACAATAACAAAATTAATAAAATCCTATTATTATCTACGTGTGTTTGTATAAATATGTTCAAAACATTATTTTAAAGAAAGAGTGAGTATATAACTTCAAATTATGTACTTTTTATTATTCTATTGGAAAGACCAATTATATGATTGTTCTCAATTGTTTCTAAATGGTGAAGTTTGGGAGTATTCAGTCAACGATAAAGGAGACAATTTTAGTTTACAATTCATTTCAATGAAGATATTTATCCTCTAATTTCTCCTATTAATATTGTTCTACATTTCCTATATATGCATACTTTTAAATCTTTTTTTTTCTCAAGTACACTTCATTGGTACATCTGTCTAGTTACCACAGATACACATTGTTTAGATAACATGCACACATTCACACACAGTTCTGTGGACAGTGTGCAGCACTAATGCAAAAAGTCAATAAAATAATAAAAAAAGTTAGCCATATAATCGTACGTATTGGCTCTATAATATTTCTTTCTAGTAGTGATTGTAGTACTCTTGGTAACTTTATCATCCGCACCTGAGCAGAAGAAGGAAAACAAATCATCATCATCATCACCATTACCCCAGTGCCGCAAAGGCTCCCATCTACGATGGGGTAAGGGGGGGTCGGATGTACGCAGTCTTACCCCTGTACTAAAGCATCGAGAGACTGTTTCCGGATAACCCATAGTGAAATTCGCGTCTAAAATTGCATGCACTGACCTCTGCTTCATAATAAAGAAGCGTAGACAGTTTAGTGAGCCATTTTGCTTTATTCCATCATATTCCCAAGCCAAAAAATAGTGAGTCTTTGGCTCCATTAAAAATGATGGAACAAGAAAACAAATCACTCAGTTTATTTGTTTCATCGTTCTTATCTTCAAAACATAACCTCCTTGCGTTTATATATATATATATATATATATATATATATATATATGTATGTATGTATATGTATATGTAGGAAATCTTTCCGGTAAGGTATACCTTACCGGAGCCGCTGTGCAGCCTCCACGTTTTGAGGGCCTTCCCAGTGGAATTTTTCAATGAAATTTTTTGAGCATGTTCGTAATCTAGTCTAGTACATCCATACCAAATTTCAGCAACAAGTTCAATTGGGAAGGCAGCCAAACGATTTTTGGAAGATAACTGTGTTTTATATGTATATAAAGGGTGCAGTTATCTTCCAAAAATCATTTGACTGCCTTCCCGATTGATTTTTTTGCTGAAATTTGGTATGGATGTACTAGACTTGATGAAGAACATGCTCAGAAATTTTCATCGAAAAATTCCACCGGGAAGGTCCTTAAAACGTGGAGGCCGCACGGAGGTAAGGTATACCTTACCGGAAGAGTTCCCTGTATATGTATATGTATATGTATATGTATATGTATATGTATATGTATATGTATATGTATATGTATATGTATATGTATATGTATATGTATATGTATATGTATATGTATATGTATATGTATATGTATATGTATATGTATATGTATATGTATATGTATATGTATATGTATATGTATATGTATATGTAGAGGGCTCTTCTCATCAGGCCGGCCTGACGGGCTGCCCCGTCCGGCCGAGCCCGTTTGGGCACCTTCCCGGTGGAATTTTTTGATGAAATTTTTTGAGCATGTTCCTCATCAAGTCTAGTTTGTCCATACCAAATTTCAGCTCAAAATTCGATCGGGAAGGTCGTCAAATGATTTTTGCAAGTTAACTGGTCCGGAATATGTATTTTCCGGACCAGTTAACTTGCAAAAATCATTTGACGACCTTCCCGATCGAATTTTGAGCTGAAATTTGGTATGGACAAACTAGACTTGATGAGGAACATGCTCAAAAAATTTCATCAAAAAATTCCACCGGGAAGGTGCCCAAACGGGCTCGGCCGGACGGGGCAGCCCGTCAGGCCGGCCTGACATGAAGTTTCCTCTGTATATGTATATGTATATGTATATGTATATGTATATGTATATGTATATGTATATGTACACAAATGATCCTGTCCGGACGTCCGGACAGGAACCGCCGTCCGGCCGGCGGCGTTTGGCCGCCTTCCCGGTGGAATTTTTTGATGAAATTTTTATGGCATGTTCTCCATCAAGTCTAGTTTATCCACAAAAAAATTCAGCCAAAAACTCAATCGGGAAGGTCGTCAAATGATTTTTGCAAGTTAACTGGTCCGGAATATGTATTTTCCGGACCAGTTAACTTGCAAAAATCATTTGACGACCTTCCCGATTGCGTTTTTGGCTGAATTTTTTTGTGGATAAACTAGACTTGATGGAGAACATGCCATAAAAATTTCATCAAAAAATTCCACCGGGAAGGCGGCCAAACGCCGCCGGCCGGACGGCGGTTCCTGTCCGGACGTCTGGACAGGATCAGGACTCTGTATATGTATATGTATATGTATATGTATATGTATATGTATATGTATATGTATATGTATATGTATATGTATATGTATATGTATATGTATATGTATATGTATATGTATATGTATATGTATATGTATATGTATATGTATATGTATATGTATATGTATATGTATATGTATATGTATATGTATATGTATATGTATATGTATATGTATATGTATATGTATATGTATATGTATATGTATATGTATATGTATATGTATATGTATATGTATATGTATATGTATATGTATATGTATATGTATATGTATATGTATATGTATATGTATATGTATATGTATATGTATATGTATATGTATATGTATATGTATATGTATATGTATATGTATATGTATATGTATATGTATATGTATATGTATATGTATATGTATATGTATATGTATATGTATATGTATATGTATATGTATATGTATATGTATATGTATATGTATATGTATATGTATATGTATATGTATATGTATATGTATATGTATATGTATATGTATATGTATATGTATATGTATATGTATATGTATATGTATATGTATATGTATATGTATATGTATATGTATATGTATATGTATATGTATATGTATATGTATATGTATATGTATATGTATATGTATATGTATATGTATATGTATATGTATATGTATATGTATATGTATATGTATATGTATATGTATATGTATATGTATATGTATATGTATATGTATATGTATATGTATATGTATATGTATATGTATATGTATATGTATATGTATATGTATATGTATATGTATATGTATATGTATATGTATATGTATATGTATATGTATATGTATATGTATATGTATATGTATATGTATATGTATATGTATATGTATATGTATATGTATATGTATATGTATATGTATATGTATATGTATATGTATATGTATATGTATATGTATATGTATATGTATATGTATATGTATATGTATATGTATATGTATATGTATATGTATATGTATATGTATATGTATATGTATATGTATATGTATATGTATATGTATATGTATATGTATATGTATATGTATATGTATATGTATATGTATATGTATATGTATATGTATATGTATATGTATATGTATATGTATATGTATATGTATATGTATATGTATATGTATATGTATATGTATATGTATATGTATATGTATATGTATATGTATATGTATATGTATATGTATATGTATATGTATATGTATATGTATATGTATATGTATATGTATATGTATATGTATATGTATATGTATATGTATATGTATATGTATATGTATATGTATATGTATATGTATATGTATATGTATATGTATATGTATATGTATATGTATATGTATATGTATATGTATATGTATATGTATATGTATATGTATATGTATATGTATATGTATATGTATATGTATATGTATATGTATATGTATATGTATATGTATATGTATATGTATATGTATATGTATATGTATATGTATATGTATATGTATATGTATATGTATATGTATATGTATATGTATATGTATATGTATATGTATATGTATATGTATATGTATATGTATATGTATATGTATATGTATATGTATATGTATATGTATATGTATATGTATATGTATATGTATATGTATATGTATATGTATATGTATATGTATATGTATATGTATATGTATATGTATATGTATATGTATATGTATATGTATATGTATATGTATATGTATATGTATATGTATATGTATATGTATATGTATATGTATATGTATATGTATATGTATATGTATATGTATATGTATATGTATATGTATATGTATATGTATATGTATATGTATATGTATATGTATATGTATATGTATATGTATATGTATATGTATATGTATATGTATATGTATATGTATATGTATATGTATATGTATATGTATATGTATATGTATATGTATATGTATATGTATATGTATATGTATATGTATATGTATATGTATATGTATATGTATATGTATATGTATATGTATATGTATATGTATATGTATATGTATATGTATATGTATATGTATATGTATATGTATATGTATATGTATATGTATATGTATATGTATATGTATATGTATATGTATATGTATATGTATATGTATATGTATATGTATATGTATATGTATATGTATATGTATATGTATATGTATATGTATATGTATATGTATATGTATATGTATATGTATATGTATATGTATATGTATATGTATATGTATATGTATATGTATATGTATATGTATATGTATATGTATATGTATATGTATATGTATATGTATATGTATATGTATATGTATATGTATATGTATATGTATATGTATATGTATATGTATATGTATATGTATATGTATATGTATATGTATATGTATATGTATATGTATATGTATATGTATATGTATATGTATATGTATATGTATATGTATATGTATATGTATATGTATATGTATATGTATATGTATATGTATATGTATATGTATATGTAGAATATAGATGTGAACTAACTATTTTTCCTTTGTATTAAAACTGGTTTTCCTGCAATTAAGAGCAATAGTAACTAACCAATATGAACAAAGTCATATACATGTGTGCACTAGTTACAGCCTTAGTTAATATATTGCCACTCACTATACACCCACTCTCCATGTTTTTTTCTCAATATATACATACACACACATACACAAATGTATATGGTTAATTATTCTTATAGTTTTTCACTCTCAGACAGGAATATGCTGGGGTCATTGCCCATATTGCCTCTCCCTCCTGCTACAGAGGATGGAAATCTTGGTCCATTGCCTCTAGCTCAATTGACAGAAAAGGACAAAGATGATGTTAAGGAAATGAATGAGGAGGAAAAGAACAAAAACAGTTCAGCCTTAGCATCAGTTGCGACCCATGCAAAAACTATTGGGATCATTTACCCACCTCCTGATATTAGAAGCATTGTTGATAAGACATCTCAGTTTGTTGTTAAGAATGGTCCAGAATTTGAGAGAAGGATTGTTCTGAGCAATGCAGGGAATGCAAAGTTTAACTTTTTGAACCCCTCAGATCCTTATCATGCTTACTATCAACACCGCTTGTCCGAGGGCCGTGCACAGAATTTGGCTTCTGGTCAGCAGCTTCCTTCAAAGATAGCCGATTCAGATGCTTCAGAATCAGCCCCTTCTGCACCTTCATCTGATGCCATTGATGCAATGGCAAAGCCCGACCCATCTGCACAGTTCAGACCCGTTCGCAAGGTTCTTGAACCACCAGAAGCGGAACAGTATACTGTTCGGCTTCCTGAGGGGATCACAGGAGAGGAATTGGATATCATTAAGCTCACTGCGCAGTTTGTAGCAAGGAACGGGAAGTCTTTTCTGACAGGGTTGACCAGTAGAGAGATCAACAATTCTCTATTTCAGTTTCTGAAGCCTACACATAGCATGTTTATGTTTTTCACATCACTGGCAGATGCGTACTCAAAGGTCCTAATGCCTCCTAAAGGCTTGACTGATAAACTGAAGAAGAGTGCTGCTGACATGACGACTGTACTTGAACGGTGCCTAAATCGGTTGGAATGGGAAAGGTCACAGGAACAGGCTAGACAGAAAGCTGAAGATGAAATAGAATCAGAGAGACTGCAAATGGCTATGATCGATTGGCATGATTTTGTTGTGGTCGAGACTATAGATTTTGCTGATGATGAGGATCATGATTTACCCCCTCCTATGACCCTTGAGGAGGTTATCAGGAGGAGCAAGATGTCATCGATGGATGAGGAGGAAGATTTTGTTGAGCCAGGGAAAGAAGTAGAAATGGAGATGGATGAGGAAGAGGTTCAACTCGTTGAAGAAGGCATGAGAGCCACTACCATTGAGGACAACTCTGTCCAGAATTCTGAAATTAAGGCAATAACAGAGGATCATGATCCGCCCATGAGAATTGTGAAAAACTGGAAAAGGCCTGAAGAGAGGTCCCTTCCAGAAAGAGATCCAACAAAGTATGTCATTTCTCCTATAACCGGGGAGATGATTCTGATCAGTGAGATGTCTGAGCATATGAGGATCTCTCTTATTGATCCTAAATACAAGGAGCAGAAAGAGAGAATGTTCGCGAAGATTAGGGACACAACCCTTGCTCAGGATGATGAAATTTCTAGAAACATTGTTGGGCTCGCTAGGACACGTCCCGATATTTTTGGAACCACAGAAGAAGAAGTGTCAAATGCAGTCAAGGCCGAGATCGAGAAGAAAAAGGAAGAGCCAAAACAGGTCATATGGGATGGTCACACTGGAAGCATTGGTCGTACAGCTAGCCAGGCATTGTCCCAAAACAGTGCAGAAGATCAGTATGATTTTGTAAATGATGCAAGGAATCTTCCGGGCCCACAAGCACCACCTCCTCCCAGGCCTGGGTTGCCATCAGTTCGACCACTTCCCCCACCACCTGGTCTGGCATTAAACATCCCTCACGCTCCTAATACTTACCTCTATCCAACTCATGGTACCCCTGGGGTTATTGTTCCACCTCTTCCCAGGCCTCCTGTGATTAACACAATCCCACAGTTGCAACCCCCACACCCTACCAACTCACCCATGTCTGGGCAGCATCTTATGGTTAACCGTCCCCCAATGCACACATCAATGCCCATCAGTGCTCCCAACATTTCGGTACCATTACCACCTGGCTCTCAATATACACCTATGGGTCCTCCTCGACCATCTTTTGTTCCCCATCCCATGTCCCAATCTGGAATGAATGTGGTTCCACCACCTCCAATGCTACCCCATGGAATGCCTCCACCACCTCCGCCCGAAGAAGCTCCACCACTTCCAGAGGAACCAGAGCCTAAAAGGCAAAAGCTTGATGAGTCTATACTCATTCCTGAGGACCAGTTCCTGGCCAAGCATTCGGTGCGTACATCTATTTATTTTGTCTTCTTTCTTACATTCTATTCTCATTTTGTCTAGTGATTGCTAATAGACAGTGTTTTGTTTTCTTTTCCGTTTTTTTTGCAGGGACCTGCCCGTATCAGCATTACTGTACCCAATGTTGATGAGGGAAACCTCAAAGGCCAGGTATTGGAAATTTCAGTGCAGTCCTTGTCTGAAACTATTGGCAGTTTGAAGGAGAAGATATCTGGTGAGATCCAGCTTCCTTCAAACAAGCAGAAGCTGAGTGGGAAGGCTGGTTTTCTCAAGGACAACTTGTCGCTTGCCTATTACAATGTTTTTTCTGGAGAAACACTCAATCTTTCACTCAGAGAACGTGGTGGCAGAAAGAGATGAATATCTAGGGCTTCGTTCTTACTGTTGTTATGCTAGTTTTTGAGATTTTATTTCATATGTACCCCTAACAGTGCTTTTTGATTTTTTTTTTTTAATTTTAAATGTCTTTGAGCTGATGGTATGGTAATCCTCATTCTGACTTTTACAGAATTCGCAACTTGGTAAGGTACCACTGAAGCTTATGGGAAGTTTTTATTAGTTCTATTTCTATAAGATGCAATTTTACAATCTGTTTTCTTTTCATGCCACTAATTATGTCTTGTCTTGACATGCAGCTGACCTCTGTTCCCAATTGAGCTTTAATCGGTCTCTATTGAAATCTGTCTTATTCGATTGTCTTGATGTTGTATATGTTTCTTGCTTCATGTATTTTTGGATGAATCTCTTCTGTTAGCAGGCAGTATGTGTTGTGCTTATTAAAAAACATAATTGAAGCTTCAAGTTTCCCTATGCAATGTTCAGGTATCATAGGTTTCAACACCCATGCTATGGCCTGTCTCTTTTGTGTTTTTTGCTGAGTATATACGAGAAGAGCATTCAAAGACGTGCTGCTGCCCTATATGCAACTGCCAGGAAGAAACTGTGACACACCTGTTTTTGAAGTGCCAGGTATCGAGATAAATTTGGGAGGATGAGGGTCTCTTTTCGCTGCTGGAGGATCGATCATTTGCAAAATGGTTGCGGCTGATTTTTGACAAGTTAGCTACTGGAGAAATTTGTAGAGTTATTATACTTTTGTGGAGCACACGGAAGGTTAGGAATGGGCTTGTGTGGAAGGGTGAGTCCTCCGGTGAAGGTGTGAGACGAGTAGCAGTATCTTTGCTACTGAGTTGGAACTTGGAAGGCTGCCCATGAAGAGGAGGGTAGCAGCTGGGAGGTTTCTGGGAAGCGGCAGAGGAATAGAAAGTGGAAACGGCCTGAGGCGAACCAGATAAAGATCAATGTGGATGCAGCACATAATCCAAGAACAGGTTTGTGGGCTTGGGGATGGGTGAGTCGGAATTACGAGGGAGAATTCATAAAAGCACAGACTCGTGTTGGCAAATTAGCTTGGTCTCCGGAAGTAGCTGAGGCTTGGGGAGTGAGGGAAGCTATTTTATGGGCTCGTGAGAATGGGTGGAGTAAAACGGTGATCGAGACAGATGTGGCCTTGGTTTTAGCGGGAATTAATGGCGATTCAGTTGTGGCCCAGATTGGGGTCATCTATGGTGACATAAATAAAATAATGAGCGAGGATTCAAATATTCAGGTCCAATGGTGTAGTAGAGTAGCGAATAGAGTAGCTCATACTTTTGCTCGTTTTGCAATTCCTTTGGGCGAAACCGAAGTAAATTTCTGTTCGCCGCCGTCTTACAGTGTAAGCCATTTGGCAAATGATTTAATTTTATAAATTGGATAGTTTTCTTTAAAAAAAGACGGGATTTGGTGATTTTGCTAAAAAAAAAGACGTGATTTGGTAATTTTGTAAACTGCTACCCTTTGGCAGTTTGGGCTAGGCTTCTGGTTGGAGAAATTCAGTATTTTTTTGTGTTCTGTAGCTGTAGGTGTGATAACCTATTTTTGCATTCTTTCATGGTTTCGCTCTTGCCCAGGTCTTTGTGAAATTGGTGATTTTGCAGCTTTGTAAAGTATCACGATACCTAAAGTTGAATAAATGAGTGTAATATTGTAATTTACTATAAATACAATGTTATGTTTTTAGTTGTGCAGACTAATATTGTGCAGGAGGATTGAGTAGTTAAAAGCAAGGTCCCTAAGTTTTCAAAGGTTATGGGTTGTTATGAATACCGGTTCTTATTTGCGCTTGAAATGCCTTATTTTGGTTCTATAATATTTTTCTTTTAGACTGAAATTTGCTTGTCTGATATGGGCTAGTCTGGTTCGGCAAGTGTCTGATTTCTGTGTATTTTATAATTACAGAGATTTGGTCGCCTGAACTGGTCTGAGACTGAAAACAATCCAAAAAAAACATCCGTATTCAACCAAGCATTCCAGCCCAGCTGGTGGTGAGGTTACCACGTATTCTCACGTATGTTTGAAATTGTGTATTGCTTGGTTGGTGTGGTTTGTAGTCTGTAGAGATCGTATATTGCCTAATCTTCATTACAAGATACGCAGTTAAAATTCCCTTCTTGGGTTAATTTTATTTGCTTTTTTTCTTCATCTTACTGCATTTTGATTTCATTTCTCGATGCAAGATCTTTTTCCCATTATACTTTTTGCTATATTTTATTTCTCACTTTTTACCCTTTTTTAATTCTTGTTACTTCAAGTCCTCCATCATTTTTTTCTCCCTTCCTCATTAAGGTATTTTTCTAAAGAAGTCCACCCATTAATTTCATCAATACGGAGTAATAGAAAAAGACTATCTGTGATATAAAAAAAACTAGTGGAGAAATGAAAAAAAAATCAGGGAAATGTAACAAATAAAACGAAAAATTGACATATGCAGAGTACTTTTTACAGGAAAAGTGATAGATGGGAGGAAGATTAGGGAAGATTGGAAGAAGAATGAGAATAAAAATCATACTACGTGGTTAAATTACTGAACTGATCACAAAGTGTGGTCAAATTAGGCTAGCCAAAAACATTCCCAGCCAATAATTGGGCCTCTTTCACAAATTAAAGCAAAAAAACTTGCAACTATTAAACAATAATACTGGCATACTGCTTGTTCAAATAGTAAAAGCCAAGCAGCCAAAATCGCTTTATTCAAACTAAAACCAATGGTAAAATCATGGAAACAGAGGAATGTAGCATATATTCTTCCAATGGAAATATTATAAGTGTTTTTTCTTCTATTTTAGGAAAGCCCAAAATGATGATCAGTTCTCATTGTTGATCTCCTCTTCCTTCTTCTCATAACGACGTTTGAACTTGGCAATTTGGCCAATGCTCTCAGCCATCTGACGCCTTGCACGGAAGTGATAGACCTTGCCCACTTGGTGTATCTTGGTCATCATTACGGGCATCAATCTACCGCTCTGGGTCACATATGATATCCACTGCAACTGAGGATGAATCCCCTTCTTCATTTTCTTTTTTCCTTCACACAAAACACAATCAACTTCAATATCATTGCCCCAAAATCATTAGTTTTACTACCTCCGCCCCCTAAGATTGTGAAAAGAGGGAGCGGTGTTGTTAAAAAAAGTGGAATTCATTTGATCCATATTGAGATAAATAAATTGCAATCACTCAAATATTACCAAATATAATACTCCGTATGAGATAAATTTAGTGAACACGCGAAAAAGATAAATGAGACAAATATAGGAGGAGAAAGGGAATATGTTTTTAAAACAAGACAAGGATTTGGCTCGATTTGAGCATCATACTTGGAAGGGTTTGGCTCGATTTGAGCTTCAAGCTTGAAACTATTCAAACTACGTTCAGACTTCAGATAGCATCAACTTGGAATCTATCAAACTATATTTTCTTTCCTTTGTAATCATACAAATGATCATAATCTAGGGGTGCTAAGTACAGCTCACATATTACATCAGATCAAATTTGGGATTGAAACATAATCCACCATAATAGATTTAGCAGATGATAAATTCAAAATTGAAAATGCGGAAAATGAACCAAAGCAACGAAGATTTGCAGGGGTGATCCTTTTAGAATAAAAATAATTTTAAAAAGTTTCTGCAATTGAACTATAATAATATATCATTGTGAATTTTGAAAACACGACAATTAAATTAAATATTAACTATAATAACTGAGAACTCAATTTTTTTAAATATTTATCAGATTAAATATTTAAATATTTTCTATCAATCTTGAAAGTATAAATTAACTTTAAATATCAAAATAAGATTTCATCAATAAAAATAGTTTTAACTTTTAACTAGAACAATTTTTCCTCTCATAGAGGCTTTCTTAACGTCTCTATTGATAGAGGTTGATGGGACTAGGCCCAGAGCTAATAGGCTTAAACCCCAGACTTGGACACGTGAGTCCAGGCCCTAGGCAAGCAGCCCAGGCCCGATGTTTCACCAGGTCAGCCCGACTAACGGGTGCAGCAAACAAGGAACTCCGACCGATCCAACCGACCAATGAAAGTAAGTCCAACAAGGCAGAAGTCCAAGATGGCCTGCTAGTCCAGTCGGAAGTTTGCCTACCAGGCACCAGCCGAGTCAGTAGTTGGAAGTTTGCCTACCTACCTGTTAGCAGTGTTCTAAAAGGCGCACAAAGGCGCCGCCTAGGCGCACCTAAGCTTGATGCGCCGGTGGAACGCCTCACATACCATATAGGCGTGCAAAAAGGCGTCTGAATTAATCGGACCCTAAAATAAAATAAGTTTTTGACTAGGTGAGGAGGCCCCCTACCGTGCAGGCTTGCAAGGACCCCATTTGCTCTTTGTCGCCTAGCTATATGATTTTATAGAGATGTTGGAAGGAGGTATCCGCTTCTTTTTTCGGCGTGGGAAATTTTGAAGCATAATACAGGAGGGCAAGGCGGAGACTTCCCCTTTAGGAGCTTTGAAGTTAAGTTCGCTAGTTGTGAACTTGAGGAAATATTAAAGTATATCCAACAACATTCATTAGCTACATAATTTCAATTTACTGTAATCATTTCTTTTTATCAATCAATTTCTTTTTAATTCTTGTTTTTGTAGTATGTAAACCTTATACTCTGTATTTGTGTTCTTGAGATATTTATTATATTGAAAATTTTGAAGTGTGATTTTTTATGTGTGGTACCAAATATTAACTTAATACAATCTTCATTCTTAAATATAAGTGCAACATGTTGAATTTAATATCATCCACATATTCTACTTTGACTACGATTTATTTATTAATATTAATATTTTCTCGAAATAAATGTTGCTAAGTTTGTTTCATCGAAAATTTTAAAAATTTTATGTTTTTATTTTTTTTACTAATAGAAAATTTTATATATATTAATGGTCAAAGTTGTGCATCGGTAAATATGAAAATTTGATCATCGCACTTATTTAAGAATGAAGGTTGAAAGATTTACATATGAACTATTTTGTAATGAGACTTTTCCTAAAATGTTATTAAAATCAAATTTATGGGTGAAAGACTGAAAATATGTCTGAAGTTGCTATAAGTATAAAATTATAACATTATAATCATTTAAACATAAAAATTTAACATAAAAGTGGTCGCTAAAAATTGATACTACAATCACTACATTTAAAGAGTCACTTTTTATCTATTATCTTTACTTTAGTTATAAGTACGGAGTATGTCATTATTTCTTAAGTAATTGCCCTAGAAAAATTATAATAATGAGTAAAAAGCTAAAACGCCTTTTCACACCTAGGCCTCGCCTAAACCCGCCTAGGCTTCAAAGGCTTCAGGCTTGGTCATGCCACCTTGACCCGCCTTACGCGCCTTTTAGAACATTGCCTGTTAGGCATCCGGGAGCCTGTCCACCAGTCCAGCCGAGAGCTTGCCTGTAGGCAAAGACGGGAGTAGGCCTGAGATTGGTTCGGTTCTAGTTAAAAAATCATGAACCGGTTATAAAAATATAATTTCGGAATTCGGTATGGTTCTAGTGAAAAAAATAAATAACCATTTTTGGAATCGAAAAAAATGTAAACGTTTCGGTGCATGCGTTTTTCGGTTCCTAAAAAAATATTCTAATCTATGTAAAGTGAACTCGATCTTTCTTAATTTTTGCCACATAAAACAAAACAGTTCAAACATATGACCTATGGCATATGTTTCTGCAACAACATACAAGATACATATATGACAAAATTAAAGTATGAAAGTCCCAACATATCGAAAATATAAAAGTTCAAACATAATAAACTCTAATTTAAGGAAACAAGACATTAAGTTCAGTTCATAAAAGAGATAAAGACTGCATGTTATTCCGCATAAATCATTCTTAATGAACTTAGAAACTAATTGAGTTAATAAGATACCAAGTACAAAAATGAAAAATGTGAGAGTTAATCATTGGTTGATTCAATAAATTAGTAACTAAATGCCATTCAACTAATGAATTGGTTTATGTATCTAAACTAAAAAATATGACTATATCATCCGAGTAAAAGCATGGGTAAGAAAAATACATACCCTCCAAGTACATGTGACCTGTCACACAGCATATATACTATTCATCTTTTGTTGGGCTGAAAAATCTGTGAAAATAAAATTTAAAGTCTATATATAACCCTATGTTTATTTTAACTCCAAATCCCAACTTTATCATTTTTAAATCTCCAACATGTATACAAAATAATATGTCAAAAAATCATATATGATCCATAGGAGATTTTTTAAATCTGTCAAAAAATCCCCCAAATTACCTATGAGAAAGAGAAATTTAATAATCAGTAGGAGAATGAGGTCACGTATATAGTCTAGTAAGGCATCCTGAGTAAGAACTATATGATCCATTAATAGAGAAGCATAAATTTTGAAAAATCATCCTTTTCCTTGTTTAGACTTTTAGTCGAACAGTTGGCATGCAGTCCACCCTCTATTAGTTCTACCCTACAATGAATTAGCACTCAAAGCATCCAGGGCTTGCGAATCATAAGGGCAGTGAACAAATTCATCAACTATGTTATTTGTCGATATGTACCTTGTTTTGATTAACATTCTTGTTCCTACCAATTGGAGACCGAAGAGTGTGAAGGCTCTAAACTTTAGCTAGAGTATTTTTTGTTCCTTGGCTAATAGTTGAGAGACATATGTTCATTTACTAAAACTCATATGAGCCCCAATTACATAAAGTATCCCTAATAATCGATGAAATTTACAATTACAGATCAAAATAGGAATTAGAGAAAACCTGGATATCTCGTAGGAAGAACGATGAGCAGTGTGGAAAAGTCAAGTCTCAAAATCACAAGGTTCAAGATAAAAATGGTGAATGAAATGGTGGAGAATTAGAGAAGAAGAAACGCTATGGTAGGCGGAAGCAGGGCTGGACGGCTGGGCGGACGGGAAAGGGGCAGCCGCAGGAGGTGAGCGGCGGCGAACTACACGACTAGCAGAGTTGCGGAGCAGGGAGCCGGGCAGCCGGCGGAAGCGGAGTAGGGATGCAGGCGCAAAACGCAGTCGCCAATCTTTTACTCCGGATATAACCCAGCAACCTACGACTTTTTTATTCGAAGGCTAATTCTTTTTTATTTGGGAAAATGTCATAATTATTAATGCAATCTTGTATTTTCAAAAAGTAATTAATTATTTTCTGAATTTTTATCATTCTTATTGTTTGCCCTCTCACGTTAATATTGATTTAATTAAATTTAATATAACTTTTAAATTCAACGAGAGTGTCTATAAAATTAAATTTTAAAAGTAAAACACAATTTATTATCATAATTATGAGTCATTGTTGTTGATCATTATTTTTCTACTTAGCTACTCGATCATAAAATAAATATTAATGTATGTAGTTAAGAGAGAAGACTCATATGTAAGATATAAAATATCATGAATTTTATATTTTTTAACTAAAAAAGTAAAAATTAAATGTGATTTAATCTTGTTAAACTAATAAACTTTTTGTGAAGAAAATATCATCAAAAAATAGTAATAGAATTAATAAAAAAAATTGAATAAATCACAATCAAAGCTATATATTTTAGGTCTTAGATAGATAGCTTTCAATTATTCAAATCATATATTGAACATTCTATCTTTTTGGTCCGTTATTAATACTAGACTAGATCAATCTTTTAGGTCATGGGTCGATAAAATTCATTTTTTCTTGGTATTTCTTTGCTACACACGAAAGAAATGTGATTGAGATTAATTCAGCCAGATGAATTACAAATAAGACTTTTATATTCATGGTGGAGAAGTGTCTAAAATTTTGATAATACATATTTCAAACAACTATCTTATGTATCTCATGAATATTACTGAGCTCGTCAGTCTTCGACCTTAACTACTTTCATTAATATTTATTCTATGATCACGTAGCAAAGTACAAAAATAACGATCAAGAACAATGACTTATAATTATGATAATACATTGTGTATTACTTTAAAATTTAATTTTGTAGTCAATTCATTGAATTTAATAGTTATATTAAATTTAATTTAACAAATATTAACATGAGGGGGCATATAGTGAGAATGATCAAATCTGAGGGGTAACTAATTGATTTTTGAAAATGTAAGGTTGCAGTAATAATTATGACATAACCTCAGGGGGTAAATAGTAATTTTTCCCTTAAAACTTTACATGCAAACTGATTGCATATTTGCATGTAAAGTGTAGGATGTAATCATTTTATATGTAAAATATAAATATATTGTTTGATAATATATGTGATGTATTTTTAAAAGCATGTAAAGTAAGTACATTGTTTGGTTCAAAAAATAAGTTCACAAGTAAAGCTCCAATTAAAAATTAAAATACCCTTTTCGAGTTTTAACAGATATGCCATCGTAGCAAGCAAACAGAATGCAACATTGCGAACTTGTTAAATAAGACACCACAAAATAGCAAAATAGAAAACTTCCACTTTTGATCCAAAAAGAAGAAAGAATTTCCTAAAGATAAAATTAAACAAGCCTTTCCCAACACACCGTGATGTACGGAATTCTTTTTCGAAAGCAGAAGATAGAACCGTCGGTGCTGCTGTTGAGAAATTGCCACCGATCATTAAGAATCGGTGAGCAAGGGTGAGAGATGTCGGTCGTGAAGAATGACCGGTGTCGCACTGTAAAATTTTAATTTAATCAATTTTATATTAAGAATGTAAAATATTTTACCACCCTCCCCCAAATAAAGCGGTTTACATGGTACAATATAAAATGTTATAAAATAGTACTTTACAATTTACATTAAATAATCAGAGCATCTTTAGTGGGCATGTGGATTGTATCCCTTTAAAAATGGACATGTCACTTGTATAGAAAGCCCATGGAGCTGATGTGGACTTGTACACTTTTAAATTAATTTTTAGAATTCAATGGTACAATGGATTTGTAGAATTCGCTTCTCGTACATGGGCTACGTCATGTAACTAAAAAACTGCCGCACGTATTCTTCTTCTATCTTTCTCGAGGGAGGCATAATCTGAAGAAACATTATACAGCCGCAGGTCAGGTATGTATTCATATCTCTAGCTAGTTTGTTTTTCACAGTAGCTTAATATTCCCTGCGGCATGTTTTTCACTTTTTAATTGTATTTAAAACATTAAATTGAAGCAAGCGTAGATTGTTATGCATAGGATGTCATAGCCCTAATCTCGTGTATTTTTCACAATAGCTTAATCTCTCTGTTCTCTTTACGTTCCTCTGTACACACACATATTCGTATATATGCCCTGCACGTTTATAATCTTTATGGATGTTGGTGTAAATTATTTCGATTGTGGATTATCTATACAAGTCATAATCATGCTCCAGTACATGATTCTTTTAAAAATAGTGAAGGTCTTAGGAGATTAAAATATTACTCCTTATTGATTTCAAGCGCTCTAATATTAAGGAATTATACTCAATCTTATACTTTTCTGATAAATATATTTCAGGTGATATAATATAATAATGTCTTCTTCAGAGTCGGAAGTTGATAGTGATAACTCATCATCTGACGGTGATGCGTTCTCGTTGACGAAAAAACTATTAGAGGAAGCATCAAAAGAAGATGATAGTAGTTCAAAAATGACTTGTGATTTGATTCATGGCACCACCCCTCATGCTTCTGTAATAGTTGCAGCAATGTTAAGAGGCAATAAGTGTGCCAATCGAGGTACAACCAGTGGCAGGCGTTATATTCATCGCGATAGAAAGGAGCGTCATGAGATGATTATTAAAGACTATTTTAATGGTGATCAGTCAAAGTATACATCCGACCATTTTCGCAGAAGATTTCGAATGGATGTGGAACTATTTACTCGCATTTTGGTAGCAATTGAAAAGAATGATAATTACTTCTCCTTAAAATTTGATGCCACAGGAAAAGAAGGATTAACTCCTTTACAAAAAACGGTAGCTGCAGTGCGAATGCTTGCTTATGGTTGTGCAGCTGATCTTTTGGATGAATATGTTCAAATTGGGGAGAGCACTGCAATTCAAAGCCTTAAGCATTTCTGTGATGCTGTGATAAGTGTTTTTGAAGAAGAGTACTTGAGAAAGCCAAACAAAAATGATATTGCGGTCCTTCTTCAAGAAGGAGAAGAACGAGGTTTTCCTGGCATGTTAGGGAGTCTTGATTGTATGCATTGGCATTGGAAGAATTGTCCAACCGCTTGGCATGGTACTCATACAAATGGTTTTAAACGAGTCCCAACACTCATATTAGAGATTGTAGCTTCAAAGAATTTGTGGATTTGGCACGCATTCTTTGGTATGGCTGGTACTAATAATGACATAACAGTATTAGACAGATCTCCACTTTTTGATGATATTATAAATGATGTTACACCACCATGTAACTATGTAGTTCAAGGTCATCATTATGATATGGGGTATTATTTGACTGATGGAATTTATCCACAATTTGCTACGTTAATGCAATCTATCTCTCAGCCATCTTCTCTTAAAGAGAAAATATTTTCTGAGCGCCAAGAATCTACAAGGAAGGATGTGGAGCGTGCTTTTGGAGTTTTGCAAAGTAGATGGCATATTGTTAAAGGTCCTGCACGTATGTGGAAGGAAAAAGATTTGGAGAAGATAATGAAGACTTGTATCATCTTGCATAATATGATCATTGAGAGTGAATGTAGTCAAGGAATGAATCCTGAAAATTGGCAACCTCTTGGAGATGAAAGGGTTGAAAATGTGGAGTTAGAGCGTGATTATAATTTTATTGTCTCTAGAATGATTGGAAGATTGAAACAAGTTCAAGACAAGAGAGTTCATAGAGATTTGAAAACTGATCTCATCAATCATATATGGGAGCTATATGGTGGTCAACAAGCAAGCTAATATTATGGGAGCTATAATTTTATTTTTGTTTCCATGTATGATATTCTACTCTTATTCATTAATCTAAGGATTGTGTCTGTTTTTATGGAATTATTATTTATGTTTTGGATTGATTATATTCAATATACGTTAGTTATATTCTTGGGAACATATTGTGTGCCAAGCATTTGGGATGCTTTTCAATTTACACTGCTACTGTCACTTGATTTCATTTTTCTAGCAGCCATTGCCCTTAGGTGAGTACTAATTTTTTCTCTTGCATTAGTTATAGCTTTTGCTGTATTTTACTACTTTTATCGTTTCCTAAGCCTCAATGGAAATCAGTGTAGTGGAAATTTTACTTTTCCTGTTTGTTGATGGTAAAAATTAATTGAAATCAAAGAAATGGCAAACTGGGAATGGTTGGAAGTATCTGAAAGTATATTTAAAAGAGTTTTGTTCATTCGCCTATGTCAATATCATCTCCTATTTCCTTATACAAAACATCATGTAGTTCATATCTTTTCTTTCTCGTCTGAATATATTTCAATAACAAATGTTCTTTTTCTTTTTGTCAGTGCCTCGTCAACGATGTTTATTTAGGAACTGAGGGAGTAATCTATATAAATGATGAGGGCATAATAAGTGTCATTTCTATTCATTTCAGAAAGCATAAAAAGGATTTAAATGTATACCTGTTATGTTGATGCAATATATCAAGTTATGTTGCAGTAAAATCTTGGCCAGTAAGGCTGAAGAGCTAAAATAGTATTCTCTGTCTCCAGAAGAACTAAATTAATTAGCTTTTAATTTCTAGTTTTATACAGCCAGTTTTTATCACATTTGATTTTGTTGTTCAATAAAACTTTCCATATTGTTTCTAATTATAAGTTTTAATTAGTAGTGCTAAATTGACATCAGATTTGAAACCATTTTTACACGTTAGTAAATTAGCATCATAATCATTCAAAGAAGCCTTAGAGCTATTCCCACTAGAACGGGTTTATATCAGATTATTGTTTTTCTCTTCTTACAGCTAAAAGACCACTTGCTAGAATTATCATAGCTACTGGTGGGTCAATCAGGCCAAATTATGATTAATTACAAGGATCACAAGGATAACCAATTCGATAGCCATTTTCATTTGTTACAGATCATTAATACTCCTTATATTTCCACTTCATGCTATGTTTTCTTAATTGAAAACAAAACTAAATTGCTCACATGTTAGGAAGTTGTTGAATCTGTCATTCCTCACCTTTCATTGCAATTTAATTGCTCAACACAGACGGAAGATAAATGTGAGAAATCAATAGACTTGCTTTGAAGGTCATTCTCTTATAGAACTGGTTCATGTGGACCTATTACTTTTTAGCTTGGAACTTGAGCTAAAAACTATTACTTCAATATGCTTCCAAAATACACTATTTTTTCTTCAAATTATGGGTTTTAGCCTAAAAGCAGAATCCCTTCGCAAGAAGCTGCCCTGAAAACAGTCCATGCCAAAGCTAATGTGTTTTCTGAGCAAGCACATGAGCTAAAAGTGCTTAAAACTGCAAGTCCATCCCTCCAATAAATCATCTGGGCAGTACAAAAATTTTCAAATAGAAGGATATGACTGTAAACTACTTGTCCATTGGATCAACTGACAGCATCTCTCATTCATGCAAGCTGGTTTGGAGCTAGCATTACCTACTAACACAGCAGTAAATAGATATACGACTTTCAGAATAACCCACCCCTCTCATTACTCTAATTTAGTGACTTTGAGAAGAATCCAAATTCACTGATAATTTCAGCAGACCACTCCTCCCTAACCACATAATGAACCCACCAGACTAAATGTATGATTTCATCCCCAGTCATCGAGTGGATGGGGGATTTTCAGGTAACTGAAAAGAAGGCCTTATGAATGTTGTAAATTGGTATAAACATTGCATACTAAAGATGTATTTTTTTATCTTAAAGCATGAATCTAAAAAAATAAAGTTTAGAAGTTCCAGCTGTATAACATAGAAAATAATAAGGTCGCCAGTTAACAGTTAGAGCTGTGGGGAAATTTCAGCAACAAGCACATCAGGGATTTCAAACACCAGACTAGGTACTAGTTTTATTTTAATACACTTCTAAACTGCACTTCTAAAATTTATTTTAATGCAAACTGGTTTACTGTAATGCACTTGTAAGTTGACTCCTAAACTGCACTTTTAAAATGCAAATACTTTGAGTAAAAGTTACTCATTTCAGTGCCCAGATTGGCACCCAAACTGGTCAAACACCAAAAAATTGGTACTCGATTTAGAAAAATTGGAACCCAAAGACAAAAACTATGTACAGATAACAAAATTTGCACATTTCAGTAAATTTTTTGCTTTTCTTGAGTGTAGGTTATAGAAACAACTGATTTCAATGAGCTAATTGAGAGAGAACCTTGTCTCTCCTCAAAAGAACCTTTTTTCCTTTTACCCAGAAAAAATTCATCAAGCAAAAGAGAGCTGCAATCTGTGTTAAATCAAAATTGTGTGATCTATTTTAAAACCAGCAATCTGGTTTAAAAGAGAGCTACAATAAGTTGTAAAAGAGAACCTAAAGTATATGTAAACAATAACAAGAATTGTTCCAAACTAGCAAACCAAACACAAACTCACAAATAATAAACAACTAGTCTTCCAACAAGTATTACTATTTAGCTTCCTCAAGACTTGAGCTTCTTTAACTGTGATTCACACCTGCCACACAATAAAAGTACCATCAGTTTTTAAATAATTTATTTTTCATAACTATTATTAGTAAAAGTAAGTACAGGAAATAATAAAAAAACATTCAATTACCAAAAAGTCCATCATTTTCCCATTCCTTTATAATTTGAGATTGATACATCTCAAATGTCTGCCTAATGCTTACGGGAAGTTTGGTGACATCTTGATTCAAAATACGCTCTTGTTCAATTCTCTTTTGAGTTTTCTCCTTAAACTTTTGAGCAGCCTCTTTTAACTGTTGATCCTTCTCCTTTAACTGTTGATCCTTCTCCTTCGATTTCTGAGCATGTTCTTTTAGCTCCAACTCTTTTTCCATTATCTTTTCTCGTAACTCAAAGTCTTTTAAGTCCTTTTCCCTCTTCATCTTGAGCTCCTCCTGACTAATACAAATCTGTTTTTCCATTGTAGTTTGCATCTTATTCAAAACATCAACTACACATTTTTCATCATTCAACCTCCTCTTTTTTTCTTTAGTAGCCTTTCTTCCTTCAGGGCGTTCAATATCATTGCATTTACCACCAGCATTACCATCTACATTGGTACAGTTTTCACCTGCATTACCTGAACTCCCTGGTTGAGTTGGTACTCGGGTATCACCACTTGCATTGGTAGCTTTTTGCTTGGAGATATCTTTGGTCCTAGTAACCTCCTTTACACACCATTTGGAATTTATTTTCATGATATCCCAACAATGTTCATACTTGAAAGACTGGCCATTATTAATATCTTCGTACATGTGCATTGCCTCTCGCCTCTACATATAAAAAAATCAACTCTTGAGCATAGATAAACACATTAACGCACTCAAACATCACACGTGAAACAAGGCAAATTGTGATATTTAAAAATATAACAATGTACAAAAAGCAATAGAAAGTAAAAATTACCATATCTTCCTGGCTTGCTCCACTCTTTGGCTGCCTTTGTAGTCGTTCATATAAAGCATGAAATTTATTCACTGCAACTACGATCTTAGCCCAACGAGCTTGTAAGGCATTTGTTGTGCGAGACTCATCATAAGTTCCCATATTCTCCCTCCAAACATGGAAGATACGATTCCACATATTAGCAATTTTTTGGTTGTTACCAACATCAGCATCAACAGAAATATATAGCCATGCCCTTGTTAGTGCTACATCTTCATCCTTGCTCCAGTTTTTGTTGCCTCCTACTGTCTGAGAGATACTCGTATTTTGTACGCGCTTGTTACTTTTTTCTGGTGCTCTGCTCATTTTAGCAACATGACTCTCCAATGGAACAGTAGAAGGGTTTGAAAGATCTTGAAAAGGAAATCCATACCCAAAGGGTGAGTGACCACGAGGAAATGAAGGATGCATCATAAAATTAGGATTAAAAGTCATGTTTGGTGGACCGAATGGGATAGATGAGAACATTGGTGACTGTGAGTTAATCTGTGAAGCGCTGCCATGCTCAGAAGTGAGATCAGTTATTTCAGCGTCTTTCTGAATATGTTCATGATAAGCAAATGGTTGCGATGTTGTCTCCATCTATGTAGAAATCAATATTTCAATAAAATTAATATCCTAGTTATTTGAAGCTTGAAATTATGAAGTGACACTGTAAGTGATACATAATGTATTAAGGGCCATTATAACATTATAGAAAACCTCCAACATCATGTCATCATGTTGTATGCAATGTCAAAACACATCCGACAGAGTTTCAAGTGCAGTTAGTTTTTTATAGCAATTCCCTCTATATATTTGTCAAAAAGGCTATTTTAAATGAATTCAATGATAAATACTATGAGGTAAATTAAAAATTACATACTCTGTATATTACAGTATGTATACAATGGGCTTAAAAAATAATATGGTTGTATCACCATTGATGTGTGAAACAGTGTCATACTACGTGTGTCTAATTGATTTTTTTGACAAAGTGTGGGTATATTTGTTAGTTTTCCCTTGTAAAATTGATTGATAGATATGTAGTTTGCTTGAGCCTTGAGGTAAATCTCAGACTGCAAATCATCTGAAACCAAGCAACGTTACATATACCCTAGTTTGGAATTGAGCTAGCAGTGGGAAAAGTTCCTTACTGGAAACACATTTTTAAAAAGTTCGTTGCACTGAGAGTTTTTTTTCACAAATAAAGACGAGTTATACTAACAGTACAAAAAACTTTCAAAAAGTGTTACAAAAAAACACATGGAGTATCACACTGTTTAACACATCAATGATGTATACTCCGTATTAAAAATTACATACAAAATATTTTGCTTGTTGAATACATAATGTATTCAATGGCCTATCTGAAACTTTGATGCAAAACTAAAGAATTTGGTCTGCAATGAAGTTTACCATATGGCATAGCACCTTGGAAGAACATTTGCTAGTTATTACATCATCTAAGTGATAATTATTTTGCAGATGGCCGTGGAGTAGTTCAAATGGTTTTCCTTCGATATGCATATGGCATAGCACCTTGGAAGAACATTTGCTTATATTATAAGAGAATATGGGATGAAACATAAAAATATGTCAAGTCTAGTTTCTACTGTTGCCAAGTACAATGTGAATAATGGCTAATCAATCGCAGATGAAATATCGTATTAACGATAGTTATACAATTGAGGGATGTATGCGTTTTCTTACATAACACTAAAGGTAAAAAATTCCATAGCCCAAATTCCCAACAAGAAATCATCACAAATATAGTCCAAGAACGACAATATCGTACGGACGTCTGGGGAAAATCAAGAAAACAGGAAAACTAGACAGAAGAGCATATACATAGATAAGATCGCAAACACGGCGGCGGCGGCAAAAAAACAGCAACAGCGAACAAGAGAGAAGAGCCGATTTTATTCTCACCAGGGATTTCTCATCACTCATAACTCAATCAAAGGGAGAAGTTTAGAAAAATACCTGGAAAACTTCTGAGTGATGAGTTAGCAGATGCAAAGAATAGCAGATGTGAAGTAGCAACCAAGAAGAAATAGCGGAAATCAAATTAGAGGAGCCTTTTATGGCCTTCAATTTTGAGATTTGGCGGATATTTTTTCACTTCCCGCTAACAACTTGCGGCGCGGGAGATGAAATTTTTGCTGAGTCAAGCGTGGGACGGGCTTGCTGAAAGTCCATGGAGAAATAGAAGGCGTGGGTTATCTCCCGTTCCAGCTCATCAGCAAGGGGCAAATCGATTGTTCCATTGGAGACTGTTTTTTTACTTGCCCTCAATTTTATTTTAGGTGGCAATGCATTCTTAGGAATAGAAAGGCCCACTAAAGATGCTCTCATACCAAATGGTGTAAATTGTTTGCATCCCTACACTTTGCATATAAAATGATTACTTTACACCTTAACAAACGTCCATTATATTAAAATAATAAAATCATCCAACCAGACATCATGTTTATCGTCTACTCTCACCCTCCATTTAGATTGATTATAGCTAAAAAGCCCTCTCACTTCCTGATCAAACATAGAATAGACTGCTCAAAATTGAATAAGATTAATTAATCGCTGAACATGTGAGAGATTCGAAATGATTATTAGCCAATTAACCTGATTACTTCATCTAGCAATCCTAAACTTATACAAAAAAAAAAAAACTATCAGTTTCTCACACAAAAACAAAGTACTGACATAAAACATACTCCCTCCGGTTTTATTTAATCTTCACACTTTGACTTCACACAAAATAAGGAAAGAAATTTGACTTTACTGTAGAGTACACTGTTGAGACACTGTTTGACACTGTTTGGCACTGTAGAGACACTGTTTGGCACTGGTGATACACTGTTTGGCACTGTTTGGCACTGTTTTGATGTAGATTTCTTTGCCAAAAAAGAAAATAAGGAAGTGTGAAGTTTATTTTAGACCGTCCCAAAAAGGAAAGTGTGAAGTTTATTAAAAACCGGATGGAGTAAAAATTTAAACATGCAAAAATAACTAAAAGAAATTTCCAATCCTTAGTCGCTCGTTAATTCCACCGCGACGGTTCAGGAGGGGGACGAACCAATTACATTGCACCTTACTCCTCCATCCCACCATAAGTTTGAGCCAGAGCATCAATTTCCTCCTGGGGCATGCGAATATTGTCCATCGACGCCCTCCCACGAATTGGTGTCGCTGATTTCCTTGGTGTAATGGTTCCTACAAGCGATACATTCACACTTGTTGTCCCCGAATTCATAGATTACACCAATAGCACATCATCATCCTCTTCCATCTCCATACACTTGAGCCAACAATTTTATTTAGTTTTAATTTTTGAACAATCTGATTCAATCAATCTCGCTAAATACTCCAAATTCTACTTTTAAACGGGTTATTTTTCTCTTTGAAATAGACAAAGTAGTGATCCACTCATCCCGTCATCCCCAACTGCTACCCCGTCATTAAGAATCGGCAACGCGCTGGAAGAGAATACAACGGTAGCAATGTTGCCGCCCTTTCTACCTCCATTACAGTCATCCACCGTGTCCCATAGTTGGGAGATATAAACTAAACTATGTTTCCAGGTGTAAATAAATGCTAAACTGAGGAAGTGTAGTGATAAAATATGATTTCATCATATTTAGATGATTAGATTAAAATTGTTATCATCAAGATGATTTTGATGTTTGAAAACTAATTTATAAAAAGATGATTCTGATACCTGGATGATTAGCATTTGATTAACGTTTTAAAAACACGATTTTGATAAACGTTAAAGATAACTAGAGTAACATTGTCTGGAAATAATTTATTAGGGTTTCAACAACCCATGAAATTTCCATGAAACCTAGAGGTGTAGAAATAATTGGCATGGGTAGATGTTTACACTTCATGAACTAATTAATGAACCCACATAGGATGTTTTTTATTTGCACTGTTTTCAATGCTAGACCAGAACATACCAGATCAGATCAGACCAAATCAGATCAAACCAGACCATATCAGACCACAAAGTTTCAGTTCAGGACCCGAAAGATAGATTAATTATCAATTCAGGACCCGAAAGATGAAACGTATCGGTATAGGACCCGAATGATGAAAAACTGTCAATTTAAGACCTAATATTTCATAGGTTTTGATTTATTTAATTTTTTATTAAATCCATTACTACTTTTTGATAAACTTTTCTTCACAAAAGTTTATTAGTTTAATAAAACTAATTAATATTTAATTTTTTTAAAATAATAATAATAATAAAATTCATGACAACTTAGGTCCTAGATTGATATTTTCCAATTATTCAGGTCCTAAATTGATAGTTCTTCATCATTCAGGTCCTATATCGATACGTTTCATCTTTCGGGTCCTGAATTGATAATTAATCTATCTTTCGGGTCCTGAATTGATAAAATTCCTAAAAACTTTCATACTCAAGAAAAGTTCATACATAAGGACATTAGGCTTTACTGCCCTCTTTAAGCTTTAGGGATTGGGCCAATTATTTTTTTTACTCGGCCACATCAATAATATATCCATTTAATATAAATTCTGGCATGACCCGCTTAACTTAGGTGGTCTACATAGAAGCTCCTTAAATTACTCATTGCGGAAGGGCAGGCATACTTCTGCCAAGGGTTTGGTGGCTGCGATTCATCTGCGAACTTTGGTGTGAAGAATTCTTCGAGCAACGCAGCAACGTCATACGGCTCTGGCCGAAAGTTTCTTCAGTCGGCAACAACAATGTGCCAGAGGGTAGCGATGGAAGGCAACCGGCACAAGGAGATAGAGATTGTGGCCCAAGGTTATAAAATGTTTGGAACTTTGGTGCGAAGGTTTCTTGCTCATTATTAGACGGTCTATTCTATGTCTGATCAGAGAGTGAGAGGGCTTGTTGGCTTAAGATATTTAGAGGGAAGGTCTGGGTAGTTGGAAGACTGAATGTTTGAATTGGACGATTGGATGTTTTTTTTTTGAAGGAAGTAAATTAATTGCTATTGATCAAATCAGAGTTCAATACAGGAGTAATAAAATTAGGTGGGTTATACCACCAAACACGACTATCAGACAAAGAACAAGCCACTCTAGCCAATTCGTGAGCGACTCTGTTCGCTGATCGCCTAATGTGAGAAAAATGGAGTTCATTAAACCCCGAACACATCTCTCTAATATCTTCCGCCAATATTCCAGTAGTAGAAATATTTGACCCTCCCCGAATTTCCATAATAGCACGTAGAGCATCAGATTCAACTTCAACAAGCTCCCACGACTGATCTTTCAACCAGCTAAGAGCTTCATGAATTCCCAGTACTTCAGCTTCCAAAGAAGAAAAATTTCCGGGCCTAGATTTTGCACCCGCTGCAATAAATTCCCCAAATTCATTTCGGAGAACCCAACCAAACCCACAATTCTCCTCCCGTACAGCCGCATCCACATTCAATCTAACAAAACCCACTGCAGGTCGTTTCCAAAAGCAACTCAAACTCTGAATTGGAGCTAAATCCACCCTCTTCAATTGTGCCTCCTGCCAGCCATCAACGAAGCTCTTAGTTTGAGAAACAATTTGAGATGAAATCAACCTGCTATGGTTCCAAACTCTCCTATTTCTTTCAGTCCAAATTCCCCAACATCCCCAAGCCAGCCTTTGTAAATCTTCTTTTTTTACCACCTGAAAAACCCGCTCCAACCATTCTAAAAAAGAGCCAGCTGACCGACCTATCTTATCGAAGTTCCTCCACCCCGCTGCTCCCCAGAACTCAATCGCCACCGGACATCGGACAAACAAGTGCAGCAGCGACTCGTCGCCCGACCCACACAGACCACAGATCACCTGGCAGTCCACCCTGCGACAAACAAGGTTGTTCGTGGTTGGAATACAGTCAACACAAACCTGCCAGAAGAAAGATTTAATCTTAGGGGGAAGCTGCCAATTCCACATCACAGTCCATCCCGTCCAAGAATTAACCTGGACCTCGCCCATGAGCTTCCGGTAGCAGCTCCGAACGGAGAATTTGCCGCTATCCTCCCACCTCCAGATCAGTTTATCAGGTACCTTTCTCTGGCTAATTGAAATGCTTTGAATTAATTTTGTGTCTCTGTGATTAAACAAGTCCCGAATGATATCTGTATCCCATTCCGCAGTTTGACAGCACATCAAATTACTAACCACCGTATTTTCCAGGCCCTCAATTGGTGGTGAAGAAACTTCAGGATTTACTTCATCTGGAAGCCAAGGACCTTTCCAGACTTTAATTGAATTTCCATCCCCCACTCGCCACCGGTATCCCTCTCGAATAACCCCCTGCGCCTCAACTAGGCTTCGCCACACAAAAGATGGGTTACAACCCAATTTTGCTTCAAGAAAATTGCCATCCGGATAATACCTAGCTCTGAAAACTCGTCCAACTAGTGACGTCGGCTCCGTAAATAGCCTCCACGCTTGCTTGGCTAGCATAGCAATATTGAAAGCCCGGATTCTCCGAAACCCCATGCCCCCAAACTTTTTAGGTCTACACATGAATTCCCAGTCCCTCCAACGTATACCTTTGCCAGCCTTCCCCAGCCACCAGTAACTATTCATAAGCACCTCTATTTCTTTGCACAACTCCTGAGGGAGGAGAAATACATTCATTGCGTATGTTGGCATAGCTTGAATGACCGTTTTCAATAAAATCTCTCTTCCGGCCTTTGATAGAAATCTGTTATTCCAACTCTGCAAACGGTTAACCACTCTCTGTCTTAAAAAGATTAAAATATCTTTTTTACTTCTTCCAACCAAAGCCGGCAGACCTAAATATTTTTCCTCTCCTCCCGCTGAGTCAACCCCCAATAATTCTGCCAACCCTTCACGACATTCTGCCTGCACATTAGCACTTAGAAACAGCTTAGATTTATTGAAATTTACAATCTGGCCTGAAGCCAATTCATATTCATGGATGTTTGTTGGTTGTTTTTATGAGTTTAATATAAGCGTTTTTCAGCCAAAAAAACTTAGGTGGTCTACACACTTAAGAAAAGTTCATACAAAACAATGTGCTTCCTCCGTCTCATTGGAATTTGTTGTTTTCCTTATTTCTCTTTTCTCGCACAAATCTCAACCACACAGTTTTTATTTTTCTTATTCTATACTCAAATCAAAGTAGACAATGTTGAGTGGGACGGAGAGATTATTTGTTTTAAGATTATAATAATTTATATATTTATTTGGTCTAAAACCTTAATTGATATATTTATTGGGTCCTGTTGTGTGAAAATGGGTTTTCCCTTAAGAAATGAAAACGACGCAAAACACTGTGTGCTGAAGTTAATGGGATTTCTCATTTATATTTAGATAATAAACATTTTGCAACGACATGAAAAGTTCACCTTATTTGTAAAAGTGTCACCGCATGTACACTGATAGAGTATATGGACTCAGGTACACGGCTCACATACTCATAGATACACACGCGGCTTAGGACCATCCGGACTACCCACATCGCTTGTGCCCCTCGACCAGACGAGGTCCAAATAGAGTACTAAAAACA